ACCGGGTTTAGGGCTGTAGGGCTGTAGGGTTTAGGGTTTAGGGTTTTAGGGCTTTAGGCTTTAGGGTTTAGGGTTTAGGGTTTAGGGGTTTAGGGTTTAGGGCTTTAGGGCTTTAGGGTTTAGGGATGAGGGAGCTCTCGACCACTGATCAACCGAACTCGCCGGTGCGAAGACTCACCCCATGCCCAGCAGCACACCATCCCCATACACATGGTTCCTGGGTAGCCTAAGCTCTAAAAACCACTGCAGCCCCAGAACCCTAAACCCTGAACCCTAAACCCTACCCTAAACCCTAGCCTAAACCCTACCCTAAACCCTACCCTAAGCCCCAAACCCCAGACCCCAAACCAACCCTGAGACACTGAAGGCCTGAACACAGGCACAAAACAACAACTCGAGCGCCTCGCGACCACATCGCCGCGCGAGAGAGTCGAAGCTCGGTCCGCCCGGGAGCCAGCGCAGCCCAGTGTGGAGGTACCTTGCTGAGCGCTTTGGGGGGGATATCTGTAAGTCCAATCTGTTAGCATTTGCTGCGTGGAGAAGGGTCTTGGAACCCTAAACCCTAAACCCCAAACCCTAGACCCTAAACCCTAAGCGCTTTAAGGCTTCATGAGCTTCATGGTTGCGGGATCTGAGTTTATGGTTCTAGGGGTGAGGGATACGGGGGACGTATTCTCTGCAGTCAGGGCTCAGAGCCTTCGTGAGCCTACCTTTACCTAGCACAAACACACTTTTAGGGTTTAGGGTTTAGGGTTTAGGGTGTCCCACGAGACTCTGTATGATTATCGACCCTGCAGTAGGGAAAGGCAAGATTAAAAGGACTAGAATGTGTTCGGTTAAGATGTTGGGTTTGGAAAAACTGGGCTCCCAAACATTCAAGTAGGCTTGGCATGCTGAAAGTCATAGAATAGGACAAGATAAACATGCAGTCACTGGATGACTGTAAACACTGCCATTTTTCCATGTGGAATGCCGTGTATGTTCAATGAAGCAGTACTGGTAGGTGGCTGGGCTTCTGCATGCCGCAGGCAGTACGCATGACTATGCATAGAAGCCTCAACAATTAGCAATATTACTATTACTCCTTAGGGTGTCTTATCGTATTTTAAGTATACTAGTCCCCAAAACCGTATTAAGCATTAAGGCCGTATATATTAAGCCGCAGTAATTTAGAGGTTGAAGGGCTTGTGCTTGCAAGCTCCCGTAGGCCTCTGCTGTAAATTGCTACACTCAAAAGCTAAACCTTCAATTTGCAAACTCCCCCCTCCCACAAGTGTTTTAAGCAAGCCAACAGAATTTAGAACACTTAGGCCAACAAATATCTGGGGCTCCTGCATCTGTGCAATCGTCTGGGAGAACGCAGCCGACGACGCGTCGAAGCCTCTTCTTTTGGCGGGGATCCGAGGTCCCAGGGGATTTCGAGAGGGGCTCTCTTGGTTTAGGGTGTTTCAGGGGTTTTAGGCTTTGGGGGTTTCGGAGCCCGGGAGGTTTGAGTCGGGGTATTCTGGTTCGGACCTTCGGGACAAGAGGACTTCGGATTTTGAGATGTCCAGGGCAAAGTCAGAGAGTTCCTGAGCGGATGTCATGCCACGCTATGGTTTTCGGGCTGTGGGCTCGCGCTTCGGGAATGTAGGTCTCGCCCCTTGATCCCAACCCTGCAGGGCTTAGGGCTCAGGGTTTCAAACGTCAGGGGTTAGTTGAAGCATTAGGGCTTCCTAAACCCTAAACCCTAAACCCTAAACCCTAAAAGCCTAAACCCGTTAGATTTAGGGTTGGTGTGCTTCTCAGCCAAAAGTGCCTCGGCTGAACCGCAGAAAGTGATGAAACCTCAGATTCTCTGCTGATGCCCGGTTTAGGGTTTAGGATTTAGG